TTTTTTGTATTAAAATGACTTCAAAACATTAATAGAATTATATATATATTTTTTGTTAATTTTCGAATTTATATAAAGTACCAAAATAAAGTGCAATTTTTGATTTTTTTTTTCAAGTTTATGAGGGATACATAAACTAAAATTTATATATATACTTTTTTTGTAATTTTTCTTTTTGCAACGAAATAAAGTAAAAATAGTTAAAATAGCTATACTAGACCCAATTTCACATATTCACACTAAAAATATGAAAATTCTCGGGGAGGGTCAAAAATCACGTGCTTACACTAGTCATGCTCCTACAGTTCCTTTCAACGGAGTAAAGCATACTAAAATTCCATTTTTGAAATTATTGGTAGTATTTTTTTCCATTCAGAACAAAAGGCAGTTTTCGAGTTCAGCAAAATAGTACACTCTTTAGATTCATCTGTTTGTACCCATTAAGACAAGTGACATTCTGCACATCAGAATATACATACAATGCTTGCATTATTTAGTTGTAAGATTTGAATTTCATCAAATTCATTTTCCTCTTCTATCTTCCCTGTCCTCACTATTCATGGTCGACCCCAGTGGCGGACCCAGGAATTTGTGCAAGCGGATTCAATCTTAGAAATACATAACTTAAGTTGTAAAATAGTAGTTGTCAAGTGAGTTCAAATAACATATATATACAAAATTTACGCAGCTTTAATCATAATTTATACATATACACAGTATTATTTTTTGATGAAGCGGGTTCAGTTGAACCCGCTTGCCATCACGTGCGTCCGCCACTGGTCGACCCTACTCAGAGGCGGCTCAGCACATGTGTGGCTAAGTTTAATGTGAGGCCTAATTTTTTTTAAAAAAAAAAAGTTATAATATATATTTTATTTGAAGTCTATTCTTCTCGTTTTTTGAGATGCAAAATTGTTAATATTTTTTTTATAATCGATTTATTCTAATAATTCCTTTTCAATTGATAATATGGCCAAGCCATTTCATCTTTCTTGAGATATTATTGATCTTGGGCAAGATATATCACTTTTAGTTTTGAAAAACTTCTTTCCATTGAGGCAACTGTTATAGGAACTGTTAACATTATTCTATAAGCAATATAAGCATTTAAAAAGGAATCAAGTCTTCTTATAATCGATTAGAGTATTATCTTCTACTTGTACTATTTCAGCTAATACTTATAATTTAAGAAAAAAGTGTAAGCCATCAATACGAAATAGACTATTATGTTTTAAGGAACATTCAAGGTTAAGGCAATATTTTTTAAAATTCACGTCGTCTAATGGTCTCACTGTTTTAACACTAAATAGGAAACTAAAAATATTTTCATATACTTCAAATTGTTCAAATCTATTTTGAAGTGAAAAAATTACTTTAATCTACTATATATAAAAAGTAATCAACTCTAAAAAATTCTTCAAGAGACTTTGTGATATCATTATCAACATTCTCATCAAATTATTTCTTTCTATAAATTACACGTTTATTAGGAAACTCAGGTTCTATATTCATCTTAAATACAATTTTCTTAGCTGGGGGGGCCTAAGGCACAAGCCTTATTAGATATAAGGTTAGAGCCGACCCTGACCCTAGTAGCAATTTTCACGGCATATGTCCCTCTATTTAAACTCACCAAAATTTATTATAATACTATAATAATAAAAATAATGAAGTTCTCTATATTTTCACACCAACTCAGAAATCTTTTGTGGTAGTAAAAGATTGTTAAAAGACATACGTACTAACATGATAATCTTACATGGCGTGAACGGGCGTAAAATTTAAAATCCCAGCCCCAGGTGATAGCATATGATGAGTAACAAAAAGATGGCAAGGAAGCATTTTTACTGTTAGACGTACCAGCAAGGAAATGTATCAATTACCAAATGCAGAATCTAAGTTGATTAGGACGTATAATTTTACAAAATATATATCATATCATGGCTAAATATGGAAAGTCCAGAGAAGATGAGTATGACAAGTAATACTGGTTACGAAAATTACACATGGATATAATATTTAATACACCAATAAGTTTGGTGAGAATATAATGCATCACTTGGGATTAGAACATGCCATTTGCCAAACAATCAACACCAATAAGTCTCTTGAATGTACCTGATTAATCAAGCTTTTGTTTAAAAACCAGCCATATTAAGCTCAAAACATGGCCAAATCTCAATAAACAACTTGACTTTGAAAATTAGTATATTTACTTGACCATTAAGATAACAAAAAATGACAATCCATTTCACAAGAAAAACATCATTTTAATAACTACGGTGTCCGAGCCAATTTCGACTAACTCCACGGTGTACTAGCTCGAAGTAAAACATATATGTCTATGTTCTTCACAATAAAATAAGCATGTCTTCTCTTGATCAACATCACAATACAAGATCTAGTTCAGCTACTTTTTACAATATGTAAATCTCATATTTTCTCTTGACCAACATCACAATCTTGTTCAGCTACTTTTCTACACAATATGTAAATCTAGCATGTAACAAATACAATCTACTTTTCTGCAAGATATGTAACAAATACACTAGGAGATGCAGGCTTTTCATTAGAAAAAAAGAGTTTATACAGTTCTGTTCAAGAAATAAGACACATTCCAAAATAAGTACCATCTGTTAGAACAGACGTACGTAACAACTGATATTCGAAATTAGAAGATGGATCGGACATGTGCCTAACGTCCTGCAAGACCCTACACTCTCCCTCTAATGCCCTGACTCTCGGTCTCAATCAAGTAAGAGTGAGAATCCTAGACTGCTTACCCAATCGCCAAGGAATAACTTAAACTAGCAAGAAGTGAACTAACACTTGGCCAATCCCCCAACAACAAAAGTAGAAGAGGAAATGCTGGTAGCCGAGAGACACTACACCCAACTTTTGCTTAAAAATGTAGCCAGAAATGTTGCAACATCATAAATACAGTCAAGGACAAAATCCTCTAGGAAATGTTTAATTGTTTGTTTAAAATGCACATTTGTGTGATCTTGTAACAGATGTCTGCATCTTCGTGGTTGGTGAATGAGCATCGTATTCGTTTATATAATCAATAAGATAAAAGTGCAATTTTGAGGACAGAAATTACTGAGCATTCCGAATTAGTTAGTTTTCCACTACAGATTCTTTTTTTTTTTTTGATGAAGTAAGAATATTTCATTACTAGGCATCAAAAAGATGCAATGCAAAAATATACAACATAAGAGTGTCTGCTCATGTACAAAAACTAGTTAATTCAAATTAATATTTGAATGAATATCAACAAGGAAAAGGTGGATAATACCATGCTTAAAATCTTTTATACTGCATCTTTGTCCTACTGATTTGAGCATATTGCTACATTTGATACCTGCATCAACAATTTCAAGATACTACTGCATCCAGCTCCCTGTCCACATAAGTCAGTTACAGGAAGTATGCCAATCAGGAGTATTTCTATTTCATGAACACGGAAATTTCCGCGTTGAGGTGTCCAAAATTTTCACAAAAAGAACAGTTAGAACCACTTTCCACTGCAGTTTAGGAGCTAAATATCAATATAAGAGCTCAATATCAATGCAAGTCTGATGAACACAAGGAAACTTATTAATGTACCTTGCAAAAGCTAGCGACCACTTCCAGAAAACTGGTTCATTCCACCTGCAGTTTAGGAGTTATATGGTTATTGTAACAGCTTTATAGATTCATCTTCACTCTGATGAAGTTCCAACGAGGATTTGCGATCCATATGTTTTTTATGTGGACAAGTAAAGATAAGCATTTCCATCAATGAGCTTTTGAAATAAGCAAGAAACATATGGAAGCTAATCATTTGTCACCATTCATATACTTTCAACAGTTGAAATACACAAGCAAGGATGAACAATTCATTAAAAGTACACTCAATGTGCTTTTGAGCAACAAACATGACTAATCAAGCCGAATTTACTAATGCTCTAGAATAAGAGCCTAAAGAATTCGATAACCCTAAAATATTTTACTTCCATGTGATTTGAAAGCAAGAGAAACTTACAGGAATAAGCTTGCTCATCAAATCAGAAAAGATTCCAAATGACTTTCTAAATATTACAACAATGCTCTACAAAGGTTTGCATCCAGAGCTGAAACAATTGCACTAACAATCATATCAGCTCCTTAATCCCTATCTGAATGCTCACCAACTGAATTGTTTCTTCTCAAACGTGATGTACCTCCTCTACCATTGCTGTGAACTAAAGACTCATTGTTTCTTCTACCAACAACTGAGCCGCTTACATATCTGCAGCTCAAAGCTCTACTGATAGAGTTCGCCTTAGGTTCAACCCCATCACCATCTCCCCGAAATTCAGACTGCCCATCATTTCCAGACATTAAGTCCATCAAATTGCTGCGGAACCCCAAGTCAGAGTAAACCCTCTGGGAATTCCTGAGTGGCGTTGCAAGTCTAGCATCTCCACCATCCAAATCTCTTTCTTTTCTCCTCAAGTTCAACTGGCTTGTTTTCGACTCCACAGGTCGCCCCACGGTCTCAACCATCAAACAAGGATTGGTAAAACCATTCCAAGAATGTAAGGGCACCAACTTACTCAACCCACTCAAACATTCAACAACCTCCTTCATTGTTGGCCGCCTCTCCCTACAAGTCCTCACACATTTAGCAGCCACAATTGCCAATTGCTTTCTCACCAAAGGATCCTTGGGAGGTGGAATCCTCGGATCGTACACAGCCAACAGCTTCCCTCTCTTAATCAAAGGAATGGCCCAATCCACAATAGAAGGCGGCGAATACACTACATCAATAGCCTTCCTCCCACTAATAATCTCCAACAACAAAATCCCAAAACTGAAAACATCAGTCTTGGTGCTCAAATTATCAGGAGTCACATAACATGGATCAAGATAACCCATTGTACCTGCAGGAGGAGTAGACCTCAACCTAAAATCATCAAGATGACACCTTAACGCTAACCCAAAATCACCTAAACGTGCATTAAAATTCCTGTCTATCAATACATTAGCAGACTTAATATCGCGATGAATTACAGGAGGGCTCAAAGAATGGAGAATATCAACAGCTTTAGCAGTTTGTAAAGCTAACTTTATCCTCCTCCCCCAACTAATTGAACGAGAATTGGAGTGAAGGACATCATAAAGTGTACCATTAGACATAAACTCAACAACCAAAAGCCTGTCATGAGAATCAGTACTAACACCAACAAGATTAACCAATCTTGGACTTTGCAATTTGGAAAGAATATCAATTTCATTCTCTACCTCATTACAATTATCTGTGCTGAATCTTGGGGCACCTCTAGAAGACCTTTTGACAGCTACAAGACGGCCATTTCGAAGTATTCCTTTATAGACAAGTCCATGGCTGCCCCTACCAAGAAGCTTTTGGTCAGAGAAACCATTAGTGGCAGCTTCAAGATCCCTGTAGTTAAACTCCTGAATTTTGATGGGTTTCTCCTTTTCCTGATTATGGGTTTTCTGAGAATTGGAAATTGAGATGGAAGATTCAGCTTTACATGATAGATAACCCATAAAGTTGTGATTTTTATCCGTAAAGTCACAAACTTTATGTGTTTTTTTGTATATAAATATGCAAAATCAAGAGGAAAAAAGAAAGTTTTGTGATAGGTTTTTGAGTTTTTTTCTTTTTGGGTTTATGGGGATTGCAGATTTTGTTGCAGGTTGGTGATAATGGTGAAGAGGGAGGAGAGGTGTAGGAGCCGGGAGGGAAGGGGAGAGGTGTTATTGCGGTTGTGATGGTTAAATGAGTTGTCTCCACTGAAATGGAATCCCAAGAATTGCCATGGCTTTATATTTATTTGGATTATGATATAGGATAATTAATGGATCCATGATTTAATTACCCCTAAATTATCCATATGCCTCATTAAACAAATCTTTCTTCTTTTCATACTTCTATTACATTCTTTGGTGATATAATGAATAGTAGGAAATTGATTGGTTGAAACTTAAAAGGTGAGTTTAGGAAGTTTGAGAGTTTGAAATTATGTTTGAACATATTTTTTAGTTGAAAAAATATTAAAATTTTGTGAGTAAAATTTTTTATAAATTACTCTAGAACTGTTTTTGAGATTTGAAAGTTTTGTTTTCAAAATCTACCAAAAAAAATAAAAAAAACTCCCAGATTTTATTTTGAAGAGGTTATTATGAGGTTTATATATTTTATTTTATAACTTTTCTTTTCATGATCTCAGTCGATTATTGACACGTCACAATGTATCAAGAGACAATATAATATTAGTTAATTAACGACTACAACCGTGAAGTAAAGATTACTGCATGGGGAACCCCTCAAAAGGGGAAAATATACATGTTTTACTTGGAATCTCTCAAGTAAAAGTAATTTTCCTACAAGGTCTTATTTAAGGACGGTAATTTTGATTAATATTATCGTTCTAATTTGATAGGAAAAAACATTGCATCTATTGGTTTAATTCAAATAGCTTACTTTTAATTAGTGAAAGAAAAACATAAAAAAAATGAGATGAAAAGCGGTAGGAAAAGTGCGAATTACGTAAACTAGAGGGGACGAGACGAAATCTCAACATTTTTTTCTTCCAATTGTTTAGGTTGCTTAGGAAAGGGAAAGGAATAATTTTAAGGAAAAGACAATCACTACTAGAATTTCGGTAAAAAGCGACCAAAGTTGATTAGCCAAGAAAAGCGATCAAAGGTGATCGCTAAACTTGTGAAAACAATAAAATAATAATTTTAAATACATTAGCGACCAAGATTGGTCGCTACTTGGTCGAAAATTTCGTCAAACTATTGATCGGACTGGTCAGACTTGCTTGGTCAAAGAAATACTCAGATTAGCGACCAACGTTGGTCGCTAAAGGGAACCCACTTATAAAATTTTAATAATTATAATATTATTTTAAAAAAATTATAAAATATAAATAAATAAAATTTAAAATTAGCGACCAAAGTTGGTCGCTAAATAAAGAGTAAATAGATAGCGACGGGACCCAATTAAAATTTTTTAATAATTATAATATTATTTAAAAAAATTATAAAATATAAATAAATAAAATTTAAAATTTAGCGACCAAAGTTGGTCGCTTAGTAAAATAGAGACCAACTTTGGTCGCTAATCTGGGACCCAGTTCNGCTAATCTGGGATCCAGTTCTAACGTTTAACAATAATATTAATATTTTAAATATTATATGAAATATAAATAAATCTGATTTAAATTTAGCGACCAACGTTGGTCGCTAATTTAAAATTATATATAATTAGCGACCAAAGTTGGTCACTTTTCAGGTCAACATTGGTCAAAATTAAAAATCACTTTTTGTATTTATTATCTAAATAATATAAATGTAAGTCGTTAACACTTTTGTAATACAAGGGATGAATAGACTAAAATATACTCTAACATGTTATATATGCAGTTAAGTAGTACTATGAAGCGTGCGTGTGTATCTATATATATATATATGAAGCGCTCGGAACACAGGGACGGGTTCTTTTAGGTATTGATACACTTGTAAATTGATTCATCGACTTATAACCATTAGTGCATTAGCTAATATTATATCGAATATAGCTTATATATATATTAATTTGTCAATGATTTGTTACAATAAAAAGGTAGCCCNAAAAATCCTAAATTATCCTATAGAACTAAATTAATTTATAAAAGTGTTAATTAATTATTAATAAAAATTAACACACAATTAATAGCAATTACGATAAAATCACACAATTTGGACATTAAATGTTAAAAATGCAACGTACAATATTTTTATGATTGATTTTTTTTTTTCTTGTAAAACAAACTTAATTACTCCTAATTGTAGAATTAAATCCTAAATGCAAATGCGACATATTTTTGTATTTTTTTTATTAATTTAACAAATAAACATGCATGGACAAATACAAATAATTATAAAAAATGCCACGAAAATTCTCAAAATTGCACAAAAAGGAAAATTATTTTATTTTGAATTTTTGGGAGTAATTCTC